GAGTGGGTGTCATAGCCCCAACAACAGCCTCCTTGTCCACACAGACCTCATCTGTGTGAGAATCAAGTGATTCAGGGGGTCCAGGGCTGCAGGGGCTGAGGTGGCCAAGGGCAGGAAGCTCAAGGCACTGACCCAGAACTCATCAGCTGGTGGGTTCTTGGGCAGCAGCTGTCAAGCCAGAAGCATCTCTTGTCCATATTAACAACTAAGCAGAATCAAAACATTCAACAAACTTAATCAAACAACAGAAACATTAACAAGGTCAGTCATACTAGAAAGAAATCCATTATAGACAGAGGTGGAAAGTTCAGGTCAAGAAAGTACAAACCCAGACCAAGGTTTTGTTTCAACCAACCAGTTGAGTATAAAGAGTCACAGTCACATCTAGTACTCAAGTAGTTGGTTGAAACAAAACTTTGGTCTGGATTTGTACTTTCTGGACCTGAAATTTCCACCTCTGTCTGTAATAGATTACTTTTGTAACTTCCCCAGCACTGCATACAACCGAAAAAGTATGGCCAGCCAGATCCTGAAGAAATTGAAGTTAGGGGCCTTGCTGAAGGGAACTTGAACCAGTAACTTCCCGATCACAGGCACTGGGTCATAACCCACTGAGCCACAGACCAACCCCTAAGTTTTTGTGTCTGTGTTAGTGCTACATGACCATAAAGTATCCTTACTTCAAAATGAACACTAAAGGTGCTTCCAAAAATAAGAGATGTAACGTCGTACTGAAAAGACCTCGAGGATGTGGTTCGCCTCAAAATGGCCTCTAGCCGACTTGATTTAATCCCCCGTGAGTCAAAATGAAAGTGCTCGCCCCCCCCCTTCTTTGTTCTCGCTCCCCGGCCGGCTCCTTCCCCTCTTGCGTGTTGGCCAGCCTGTGGAGCCCCGAGATGGCTTTCTTTGGCGCCAAGTCACACGGCTGGGACAGAGCGCACAGGCAGCAAAAGTTGGAGAGAACTGCCACATGGCCCCAGCAGACCCCCTTTGCTTTGTATATCGGGGCCTTTCACTGGAGCCTCCTCGACAAGGCCTTTGGCACACTCTCATTTGTACACTCTCTCACCCATACACCTGTCTGACTGAGACTAACAGCACATTAACCCTGAGAGGATCCACTGGAATTCCCAGAAACGTCCGACCCCGATATGTTCTACCCCGCATTGTGCAGTCTCAAGTCTTCTAAGACAAGGATGCAGGAATAGTTGCACATGAGAAGTATTTGGGTCTCTTATATTAACTTCAAATATTTACTGACAAGTGTTGGCTCAACACCAAAACCAGCCACAATGGAGAAATGAAAGGTAGCTACTTGTCGCACTAGCACCCTCTAGTGGCTATTTAACGAATCAGCAAATAAAATGAGTTACATGTGTCTGCTTTCTGTCTGGCTGAACACAAAGCCTCCTGGGCCCCGTTTAGTCCAAACACACCGAAATAAAACAATTCAACTTCAGAAGAACCATCTATATTACTAAGATTGCACACTTGTGGTCTTAAATATCTTTAAGGGATATTCCAGGGATTTCCAGAGATTGTTTTTAGCTAGAGTCCAATTTTAAAAAATTAAACACAGTCCTGATTTAATTTTGAACCCACAACCACCATGTCCACATTCCAATTTTATAAGTGTTGAACTTAAGCGAGTGTTGAATCAATTGTAAGTGTTTCAATTTATAGCCTTCAAAGGAATGAAGCAAGACTGTACCAGCAGGTACTTAATCGTTCCTGATGCCAAAGCTGTTTACCTACACATACCACAAATGCAACAAACACATGGCCGTCACTGAAAGGAGGTTCCATCCTCTCCGTGCAGCTTACACACTCTGGACCTCGATGCTTCTGCACACTGCAGCTTAACCGAAGGAAGACGAGGCAAGAAGAGGCAGAGCAGAGGGCCGTTCTGAAGACGAATGCAAGAAAACGGAGATCCCGTGAGTGAATGAGGTCCGATCCGGTTTCAGGGCGGCCATTTTTTTCTGTCCGGCACAGAAATGAGTGAAATGCGACCAGCGGAAAGAGGCAGAAGGGCATAGGGGAGGCTGGAGCCAAAAGCAGGCAGTGCAGAAGCAGCATGTGATTTTTAAACAGGATGCGAAGTGAGTGAATTCCCCTCTGCCTGCAGGACGACGTGCCTGCGGTCGACGGTCGAAAGCAGAGCCAAGTCACGGTAAATATGTTTTTTTTTTAAGACTGAGAAAACCACACACAATCAGAGTCTTGAATCTACAGTGAAAATTTCGCAGTTCAGCTCAGACAAAGAAATTCTGTTGGGGGGGGGGGGGGGGGGTTGGTGTGTGTGTGTGTGCTCAAGAGAGCTGAGCTGAGTGAAAGGTGAAGTAAGGACATGGTTCCTGTCAGGAATTGGTTGCGCTCAACGCTGCCGGGGCCCCGTGAGGGCTGGGATTATAGGAAATGTGAGAGCTTTAAATTCAGCAATGCCGCAGATCCTGCGACGCAAGGTCACCGAGGGAGAGAAGCAGGGCAGCGGATAGAGCGGAACACAGGGAAAGGTGATCGCCGGCCATGGGAAAACCAGCAGGAACTGGCAGGATCTCCTCAAGCCCCACCACCATCAAATTAATAATAATAATTATATATATATATATATATATATATATATATATATATATATATACACACACACACACACACACACACACACACACAGTACCAGTCAGTTGGAGGAGTTTGACCAGAGAGTGAAGGAAAAGCAGCCAATGAGAGCTCAGCATATGTGGGAGCTCCTTCAGGACAGCTGGGAAAGCATCTCAGGAGGCCACTGATGTAGAGGAGACAGCAGGGTCAGCCAGTCCCTGGAGTAACTGGAGTTAAGGGCCTTGCTCAAGGGCCCAATGGGGGCATCACTCTGCTAACCACAGGATCTGAACCAGCAACCTTCTGAGTCCTACCCCACAGAGCTGCACCTCTCCCCTCCAACAAATATATTATTTATTATGTTTTTTTTTTGGTTGGGTCAGTACATAATTCCATATATGTTCTTTAAGGTTTGATACATTTGTAATTCTAAACTGTAGAGAATAGTGCAAATACGCCTTTCCATAGGTAGGTGTGTGTGAGATTTTATATATATATATATTTTGTCATTGGATCTCGTTATTAAACGTGCAAAATATCTTTGAAATAGGTTAATATTTTCAGGTTCCGCAACACGATCGAAGTTTTCACCTGTCACATCAATGGGCAATATACACTATCCATTATCTATGCTCATTGCTGTTGTGTGTGTGCACTTTCACAACATGATAATCACTACAAAATACCAACGTTCAGGTAACGCAGATTTTTACTGGGTATCAGCCATACACATACACACACTCAGTTAAGAGTGAAGCTTTAGTGTCAGGCTACTTATCAAGCAAACCTGGAGAATTTCTAGGTTTTAAGAGAGATGTGACTATTCAGCCGAGGATGAGACTGAAACCAGAAACCTACTGGACGCAGAGACCTAACCCACAGAGCAACACACCACCCACATGCACATGGAGCAAACTCACAGGCCACTGTGGTCCACAGGCTGTGTGAAACGCACCACGAAAACACTGGACTTTTCAGATGACGAAATTCACCTTCGTCGACCCTTATTACAATGCGATTTGCGAAATGTCTTCTTCAGGGTTTCTGGACAGTTTGAAAATACAACACACATCGCTACTGAGCCCGTCTCCTACAGTTTGCCCTGCACCATTTACATAGAAGTGTTTTTAAACTGTAGAAGTCACTGCTTATCCGCCTGTCAGCCAATCGCTCAGTGCGGAGTCTTAAATAACCACACGTTCCAGGAATACCATGCTTTCAAGTTAAACCTTTTTAATGGTGTCAACAAAACAGTTACATTAATACATTAGTGATTATCAAAAGCATGAAAGAGCATTAATGAAATGCCATTATCCTACATTTTCCCTGCCACTTAAAACTTTTCCTTTCCAGTTATGAAATGGTTCTTGTTGCAATGCATGCCGGTTGCTTTTAAATAAATGCCATTGCACTGCTGTTCAAGGGACTTCCTATTTGCCACCTGTTTGATTCAGGCCACACAATCATGCAGGGACTTTGAAATGCATGTCAGGTGCTTGGGATGGGTACTATTAGGGCATAATGGAAGAGTGCCACCCAGTGGTAGCTTGTGAGTACACCACACTATTTTCCTTATGAAGTTCAGCCCAATTATGAGGCCCTTTTGACCAAGTGAGCAGTCAGGCCCCTAGAAGGATCGCTGAATTTCAAAGAAAACCTACAATACTATAATAAAAAAATAAAGTGACTGCATTTGTTTTTATCCAAGGATGTATTTCATTCTCTATGAGGTAATGGGAAGTGGAGAGACAAACGTCAAAGGCAGATCGTAATCGATCGGCCCCCGATCTGAGACGTTCCGCACATGGATTTTGCTGGCTTCGTGGGGCTGGTTCAGACCTCTGCAGAACTGTGCTTCTGCAGATCATGTGTCGCCCCCCCTTGCGAGGTTCCCCCCCCCCGGCAGGCACACCGGGAGAACACCCTCCCAGGCCAGAGGAGCAAGGGGCCGCTTGTGGTCCGGAAGGGGCCAGGAATTCAGAACTTGGTTTGATTGCGCTGTTCGGATTCGGGGGAAAAGCAGGCGGAACATGCCAGCTGGATGCATGTGCATCCCCACGCTCAGTCTACACTCCGTCTCGGGCCGCTGGCACAACGCTGACAGAACTTCAAGCTACGGCCTGGGATGTTCTACGATGCCTACAGAACCAGGACTTCAGCAGGGAACATGGACCAACATCCCTGCTAGGCACTGGATTCGCCTAACGATCAAAAAGCCAAGACTATTTTTATTTTTCCACTACAGAATTGTCCCAGTTGTGCTGGAGTAGAATGAACCCTGCATAGTCCCCATATGTGACTCCAGAGCAGAAAAACAGCACTTCCATGGAGACCTTCCTACATACCCACCCTTGCCATGACCCCTATCTCCATCTACCCACAGATAAAAGCACACTGCGTAAGTTTAACAAGTTTATTTAAGTATAAGCGGTTTTTGTAATACACTCTGACTACATCCTGTGCAACCACTCATATTCCCTTAAGACCTTTTAAGCTGGGAGATTAAAATGTCCTGTTAGCATCACACTGTGTGTAGTAAACTTAGTGAAGCAATCCTATTTTACAAAAAAAAAAACAAATCAGGACAAAAAAAGGCAACAAACCACTAACACTTGGAACATTAGAAATATTAAAACATTTCGATTCTGTGAGAAAATGTAAAAAAATAAAGTGAAGCTTTAATAATTTGAGACGACAAAAAAAAAAAAAAAATCAGAAGGTATTCGCTGTCACATAATAGCAAATGTTTACAGACTGAGAATTATTCGACGGTGAGCGGAGAACGGGGCTTGTACCATGCGTGTGCGCGCGTCTATATATGTAAGTGGGAATAAATACATCTCAGATAGTTCCAGAAAAGGCAAATTGTGACAAACCTAGCAATAAACATTGCTTACCATCGCTATGGTTACAATTCCCATCAAGGCAAAATAAAAAGCCACTATGCTGAATGAGGCAGAGGGGGCATTATGAGCTATATTGTGCAGATGGGGGGAGGGGGGCACATACATATTATAGGGGCAGTTTGGGGACAGGATTTCAAGGCCTTGGTTTTCAACCAAACAATTAAAAATTAAGGGGAAAGGTAAAAAGTTAAGGGAATATCACCCCCCCCTGAGGTAAACCCTACTCCTCACCTGAGCTGGAGAGGTGTGATGCTGGGGTGGGTATATGGCTCTCTGCCTCAAAGTGACGGTGACACAGACTGGGCGTGCGCGCGTGTGTTTGTGTGTGTGTGTGTTCCTGAAAGTGATGCAAAGTGACAGATTCATCATCTCAAAGATCACAAATTTATAAAATACATTCATGTAACAAATCAATAAAACAAAGGAAAAAAAAAATCCCACTTCCAGTTAAAATGGCTCTTCAGCATCAATATCAACAAGTCCGTCTCCCCGGAAGGCGGGGGGGAAACTCCCAGAGAAACAGCCGCTTCTGTTCCGTTTCCCTTTTCATCCAGAAGTTTGGCACATGTCAGCAACCTGCCCCCCCCTGCCCGATCCCACACTGAACACCACCTTCCTGTAGCTGCCACCAGTGCCAGAACAAAACCCAGCTGACACGGGTGGACCAGCTTAAAAGGGACTGGCCTGAGAATCCATAGCCCCCCCCAACCCCAGCTCAGATTCGTAGGGCCAGCCCGCGAGATTCATGGCTAAATCTCATCATCATACTGTTTCTGTGTTTTTTTGATGAAGCAGGACATTCAAGATACAAGTTGCTTAAGCGCATCGACGGCCTCATCGTCGCGTCCCGTGGAGCTCGCTAGTTTTCAGCATCTGAAAACGACTTGTTATATGAAAGATACGTAGATCTCGGAATAAGTACCTTTGTCGGGTGACAGCGGCTACTATTTTTGGCCGATGGATGCAATATGCTAATTTACGGTGGTGGGTGTGTGTTTGCGGGCAGGCAGGTGGGTGTAGCTGTGCACTCCAACCGGTCCTCTCCCTTGCAGGCCCAGCTTCTGTGGTTAATTCATCCAACAAATGCTTCACAGTTTGATCCACTTCTGCCTACATGTTCTTCTCCTTACACATATATATGTATATTATGCATATATATATATATATATATATACACACACACACACATATGGATATACATACTAAAAAAATAAGTTATTGCGCATCCAAAAAAGTGCATCGAATATTTAAAAATATCTTTCTTATCTTTTTGCTTTCTCTCACGATCTCCTAAACCCTTGCAGCTGTACCCCCACTGGCACAAATTCTAGAGGGAGGGGTAGAGAGGAAAAGAGAGGGAGTGAGGGGCAAGAGGGAGCAATGGCTGAAGGTGGGAAGGAGAAAGCCTGTCTGGGGGGTGGGGTCTCAGTGTAGGCGGGTGGCTGTTAAAGAACTCCCTCCCTCCTCCCTGTTATGCTATCACCATGGGAACATCGTCCGAGAAACCGCTGATCATAGGTGCGTCCTCGTCCTCGTCACCTGGGAGAGAGACGGAGAGAGAGAGGCAGGGGTCACGCCAGGGACATTATCGTTAACAAATCGAAAGCTATGAGAAAACGTTTTCGGAAGCTGAAATAAAATAAGATACGGAAATAAAATAAATTACGACTAAATGAAAACTATAAATATTGCTTTCAAAACTAAATGAAATAAAAACAAACGTCAAATACTATTTAGCTGAAGTAATGATTTATCTTTAATTACCATTAATAATACTAGAAAGATGTTTTTTCTATTTTCGGACATTGTCTAATAATGTGCACTGTGTACTGGTGTAGGATTCTCAGACACAAAAAATAGCTCGACAACTTTCAGCCTATCCCTAGAAATAAAATTACTAAAACCTAAACAAAATATATAAAAATGAAACAGAAATATATCTTTAAAATAACTTAAAAAAACAACACACTAAAAACTAGCTAAAACCAAACTGGACTTCAAATAAAAATTGAAAATGTAAAAATAAAACCAAATTTAATAAAACAAATCTACAACACTGATTCCTAGTAGTGCAATGTCAAGCCTGTTAACTTTGCTTTCCATTTATTACTTAAAAAACTTCTAAGCAAGGAACTTTTGCCCATGGTAAAAGATGTCCAACATTTATATAAAATATTAAAATATAATATAAAATACTCCATTGTTCAATTGCAAAACAGGGCATAATACCTTCTTCATTTGAACAATTGCCGTTGATATATGGCTCTCGCGGCACAACGCCTACACGCCATAGCGACTCTGTCCAGTACCGTTCTTCCGTTATCACGGTATCAGTTATCATTTTACACGGTATCAGTTATCATTTTACACGGTATCAGTCATCATTTTACACGGTATCAGTCATCATTTTACACGGTATCAGTTATTTTACACGGAAGGGCGAAAAACTTTATTTCACACTAATATGGTTAAGCTTTGCAATTAATTGGTGGTTCTCATGCATGCCAAACTACGGCGCATCACTACGGACTGTTACACCACTGCTGGTTCCCATGATGCACTGCCAGAGTTGTACTGATTGAGGGGCTAAGCTCCAGCTAAGCAGGTGTGAGGATCAGCTGGGGAGGTGGGGGTGGGGCGGCGGGGTACGGTGGGGCTCACCCAGTTCGTCCCCAGAGGAGAAGATGGCCGAGCCCAGGCGCGAGTTGTAGTGGCTGTTGGTGAAGGCGGTGAAGCTGTGCTGGAGCCGCCGGTGCCGCATGTACAGCGCCACAGTGCCACCGCCCAGCGCCAGCAGTAGCAGGAACAGGATGGGTACCACCACGGCTGCAGCGTCACCCGAGCGGCCCTTCTGGGACGGGACGCTGTCCGGGGCTGCGGGGAGCCGTGACAGACACAGGGATCAGCGTTTGTGCTACAGCTTTGTCACAAATGGCCAAAACGTCAGATGACAAACAAAATCAAAAGTTGGGGGGCGGTGTTGGCGCAGAGGATGCCGCAGCGGTCGGGGCGCCCGCACCTGTGCTCAGGATGTCGTACAGCAGCAGCGCCGGCTCCCCGCACAGCTGCCCGTTCAGCAGACAGCGCGCCTGAACGGAGAAGGTGTAGTTGTGGCCCGGGAGCAGACTGCCGACGCGGAAGAAGGTCTCTGTGGTGTTGCCCAGGCAGGTGGAGGAGTTGGTGACGCTGTCGTAGACGTGCAGCTCGTAGCCCTGAGAATCACAGTGGCGTCATCGCTGTGCTAATCACATCTACATTGCAACGGTGCAGTGCTGTTGGGGGGGGGGAAGAGTGGCAGCCCACGGGTGATTCAGTGCCCCTGTGGCTCCGCCCCCATATACACCCCTACTGGGGGCCTCACCCTGCTCTCGTTGAAGCTCTTCTCTTTCAATGCCAGGCTCTTCCACAGAAGAAAGACGTGATCGTTCTCAACTAGGATCTTCAGGGCCTCTGGGGCGGGCAGGGGCACTGGCCAAGGAGGGAGGGGGGGGGGATGGGGAGACATGAAGACAGGGTCAGCTGGCAGCGAGGAGGCGCCGGCGTGGTGCCAGTCATCGGTGTGGCGCGCTGGCATACCTGTGCCGAGCGCCAGGCTGGCCTCCTTGCTCATGTTGCTCAGGCGCACACTGACGCTGTACCGCCCCCCGGGCTCCAGGTGGCACAGCACGTATTCCACGGTGTTGTTCTGCGTGGTGACCTTGTAGCTCACCTCTGCGCGACGCACCATGTCCTTCACGTGCACCAAGTACGTCTGCATGGGTACGCAGGGATCAAAGAGGAGTCAGACTTCAGCTTAAGTAAATCCGGACTTGTGCAAAATAACGGCGATACATAAAAAAACTGACCTGTAAGTTATCTTAATTTTTTATTTATCTTTATTTAATGTGTTCTTCAGTACATATAATTAATGCATTTTGGGCCTATATTTCGTTTTGCTATAAGGTTTCCTGAACGGTAAAAAGCGACTTCTGTAAGGGTTTGTTAAACCGATTACTTATTTAACTCAAAAACTGCCGGTATCTATCATTCACCATTAGGTCATGATGCAATAGCGTTTAACAAATAATAAAATAATAAATATCTATCTTACTGCACTGCAAAGGCCTCATCACTAATGTACAATAAGCCTTTTAAACTGTATTCTGTCTGCGCTAACTGCATTCCCTTTGATGACCTGTAGGGGGCGCTTACCAGAGGAGTGGTAGGCATGTCGTAAGGTGGCTGCCATTTCAGCGTGGCTTGGGTGCGATCCACGCGCACCTTGTGCAGGTTGCGGGGAGGCAGCCTGCCGCTGGGAATCATCCTAACCACGGCGTACTCGGAGGGGGGGCCCATGTAGGGGGCGATGACTCGCACCTGTCTCACACAAACACGCGGGCGTCAGCAGACTGACACAGTGACTGCACAGTAAAGACAAGCAGCAGAGGGGACAGCCAGGGGCGGCGTCACAGAGGGACTGACCTCGGCCGAATGCTGATTGGTCCCCAGAGTGCCCCATCCCCATCACTCACCGATTCAAATCACATTCATTGGCTAATGATATAGTTGACCTCTATGTAAGAATTATGACCCCCCCCCCCCCCGATGCACTTCACTTTAAAAAAAATCCTAGAATTGCCCCTGCTGGACTGATAAGTGAACTATTGCTAAGAAAGTGGGGAGAGCCCTGAATGTGAGGGGTGGGCCTTAGAGAAAATGGGAGGAGCCTATGCAGAGGGGCGGGACTCACCAGGAAGAGGTACTGCTCATCGCTATCCACGCTGACCGTCAGGCTGCTGCCTGTGCTGTTGCGGCTGTGTGGTTGGCGGTACAGGTCCAGGAAGGAGGTAGCGAAGAACACGCCGTACAGCTGAGCGCACACACACACACACACACACACACACACACACACACACACACACACACACACACACACACACACACACAGAGTTAGAGAACGTCCCACTGTCACTCACTATATATATAAAAAAAGTTCTTTAATAATAATGATCTTTAGTGTTTATCTTTAGTTTATCCTTTTAAATAGTAGTAATAGAAACATTTTGTCAACGAGTTAAATGCGATCATTTGCACGTCTGCGTCCACACTTAGCGTGCTGATCCCGCCTACCTCGGCATGGGGACCGGTCCAGCTGCAGTCTACGGTACTCTGGTTGAGGGGGCGGGCCTTAAGGAAGGGGGGGCTCGGCTGATTGCCGTGCGTCTGCAGCCGGGTATGGGCTGTGGGACTGTCACCCACACTGGTGTGGGCCCAGACCGCCAGCTCGTAGCTGGTGCCGGCGGTCAGCTTTGTCACTGAGGATGAACACACACAGACAGCTCCTCAGTATGTCACCCCCTCTCCGGGTACCCGACACCCCCCCGGGCGATTGGGGGGACGTACCTGTCAGGTTACTACCCGAAGCCGTCATGGTCCTGCTCTCCCTCACGTGAGCGTCGAACACCCAGTAGAGAACCAACATGTACTGTTGGACCTGTAAGCAGTGGGGGGGGGGGGTGCAAAATCTGCATGAGACACTGGCTGTCACATGAGAGTCAGTCCACGAATCTAGTGGAAAATACTGCCCACATCATCACTCTCAACACCACTCATAAAGTTAAAAACTACAACTAAAGGAAAATTAGCTTCCGAAACTCTAACTGGAATAAAATTCAAAACATTTACATAAACATATATATACTTTTTAGCTAAAGTAATGAATTCTTTAGTCTCAATGACCATTAATAATGGCCAGAGCATGTTTTCCCCATTTCCAGGACATTAGTATATGTTTCTCTTTCCTCTGAAAAGCATGATTGGTTTGGCAAAAGGTGCAAGATTAATAAAAAAAAAAAAAATTTTGAACATAATGTGCACTGTGTATTCATTCCGTACAAAGATCAGACACAAATTTAAATTTTTAAATCAAAACTACACTGACTGACAGACAGACACACACACACAAAGTGGGGATTCTTCATTCATTTCTAAAACACTAACCCCAAAATACCGACCTTAACCCCTACCCAGCCCTAACCTAAACAAAACACAAGACTTTTGGCATTTTTTGTTTTTTTTGATTGCAGTCACATATTTATAAAACTGAGTTTACCCAAAAAATGATCCCCACTATGTGAAAATAACAGTTTTTTAAATCAGTGTGAGGACATTTGGTCCCCATAACATAATATATACATACCCCCCCACCCCCACAGACACACATACACACAGCTATAGAGAGAGCATCATCAACCAAGAAACACCAACCTTGTTCGGGGAACTGAAACCGAAAGTGAGACTGACTGAGTCTTCTGTGATATGGTCCATTTCAACAGATGGCACTGGAAGGGCTGAGAGACACAGAGTGCAAATCAAATCAAAGTTTATTCATCAAATACACAACAGCAGGTCATACAGCAGTAGATGCAGGTAGCGAGGGCAATTTCCCTGAGTGCTCCCTATAGCAATGGCTAAAAATGACGCTGCCATTGGCTTATTTACCCATCAGTAATTACTCATTTCTTTTTGCTGGCCTTGGTGTGGTGATTTTTGCCATATTTGACTGGCGCACTGTATGCACCTACCATATCCTACCAGTAGAGGGAGATGTTTTATCAGCTCTAGCTTGAATTCTGCACACAGGCCGTCCATAATATAGACGCAAGTATGCAAACAAAAACGCAGACAAACGCTTTGACTAAATCCTAGTAACTGAGCAGTGGGGGATTCTACATGCTGACATGTTTGCCTCAAGAGAATAGGCATACGTAGCAGGATTTGTGCAACTCCTGCCATAGTGTACAGCCATTTGTATTCAGTTAGAGGGGGTCCTCACCTTCCTGGGGTGTGATGGATTTGACATCGGACCAGTTTCCTACACCACGGCTGGTAACAGCAGCTACCTGAATGAAGCAAACCCACAGACAGACATATAAACACCTGGGACCTGTGCTATGACCCCACAACGCAGTGCTAATACCCACTGCACTTCACCCCTAAGCTGTGCTAACTCACTAGCAAATTTCTAGCAACTAAAACCCTTCTAGTGCTACTATGAACACTTCCTCGGACCTGCCATCTGTTCACACTGACCCTGCAGTTAACTCCCGCTGCTCCGGCAGTAACATACCCGGAAACTGTAGAGGGCACTGGGCCGCAGACCCCTGACCTCAGCCTGGGTACTGGTGCTGCGCTGGGAGTTCCACTCCACACTGCCTTTTGCGAAGTACTCCACCTGGTGGTGAGACGGATGCATGTGCACGGGTACACACACACACATACGCAAAAATCTTTGAACATTAAACACAATCACAATTCTACTACTAAGGGAGTAAATGTGTGCATTAAAAACGGTCCTGTCCTTGTTGGCCAGATGAGATCTGGCACCCTACAGAATTGCCCACTCACGATGTACTCCCGGATGAGTCCGTGGGCTGGATCCGGAGGCTGCCAGGAACACAGCACCATGCCCTCCTTGCTGAGGTCACAGGAGAGCTGGAGGTCCCGGGGCGGGTCAGGCACTGCAGAAAGCGGGCAGTCAGAACCGAAACAGACGCGCAATGCAAGCCATGACTCAAACAGTGAACTTAGCACAGTGTGACCCATAGGTTTACTGTCCAGTGTCTCTCAAACGAGTCTGGGGGGAACACCAGGAAGGTCCACATTTTTGCTCCACTGAAGGTCCCAGCACATCTGAACCAGGTACTGGGTGTTACTGATTGGCTATGAGCTGGGAGGGAGCAAAAATGTGGACTGTCTGGGGGTTCCTGAGGAACAGTGGTGTACAGCATGAGTAGGTGAGCAGGTGGGTGGGTGCTGGGCGGTTACTCACATCCCTCTGGTGTTCGCAGCGTCACAAACTCGCTGCTCCGGTGGAGCTTGCTGAGGCACTGCACCTGCACCTTGGCCTGGTAGGTGGTGTCTGGCTTCAGTACCGTCAGCGCGTAGCTGCTCTTGTTGCTGTGGGTCTCTACCGTGGTCCAGGTCTGTGCCCCCACCAGTCTGGCGGTGGGGGGAGGGGGGAGAGGAACGTGTCACTGAGCAACCACACGTGCATACAAATACGTAGACAGGCATACACACAACAGACTACAGTGCAAGATGACAGTCTATGAGTCAGAATAAAAGGGAACAAAAGCAATATGCACTCTTACTCATTCAGACAGTTACTCACTAAATATCACAGATCTTCTCAGATTTTGTCACCCCTATGATTCCTGACTCTCACTCATGTTAAAGCAGCATTTGTCTAGAAAGAATTTTGCCCACGGACATGGGCCAGCCAATCAGCATCCAGCAGCACCGTACCTATAGTAGACCACATAGTAGCATGAGGATGATGGCATGTTTTTGGGCCGGGACCAGGTGAGTGTGACAACACCGGAGAAGTCAGAGCTCCACTGTAGGTTCTGGACCTTGTAGATCCGTGTGTCAGCTGTGGGGGAGGGGGGACGGCAATGAAGACATTAAACTTGGGTGGCAGAGTCCCTTTAATGTCCTTCCTTGTTCCTTATTTAATAATTACAGTGTTCTGCTACATCAGAGCTTTGAGACTGGAGCAACCAAGAGTCTTTGACAGATAGGGGAGGGGGCACTCTGGGGGCCAATCAGCTTTCAGTGGCCCTGTGACCCTGCCCCTGTATACGCCCCTTATCAGCAATGTAGCATTCTGGGACTTGTAGTACCCTAGACATTGCATTCTAAATTTAAGGGGTCAATAAGAGCTTCATAAGTGTAGACATGAATGCAGCACGCCACTCACATGAGCAATTGTCCTCGTCACTGTGGTCAGAGCAGTCGATGAAACCGTCACACCTCTCACTGTCCATCACGCAGGCCTCTCCGTCGGCACACAGCGTGCCGTTAACGCAAGTCAGAGGGCCCTGGGTGGCTGGGAGAGAGAGAGGCAAGCAGAGGCTGACCATCCCACCATAGCCCAAAAAACATATTCCCCATATAGCCCCACCCTCCATTTAATCCCTACTCCTCCCATAGCACCCAGTCTCTACAATCTGTAGGCCCTTACACACTCTCCCCAGCATTGGCACTTCCCTTTACAGTCACTAGGCGGCACTGCTGCAATTTTGGTGCCGTTTGTGTCAAAATAGAAGCAGTTCCAGACATTCTCCCCAATAAAGTTCAAAGTGCCTGTATAGTTTGTGAAGGATCCATCAAATACTTTGAGTTTCCGCAGCTACCCTTCTTCTTTGCTACCACTATGTGGCACTGCTTCAGTTCTGGAGTGATTTGTCTCAAAATTTGATCAGTTCCAGGTCTTCCCCCATATAAGGTTTGAAAGAGACCCACCATATACTATTTGAGTTATCACCCTCATGAGACAAATGTCTGTGGTCGACCAGTCCCTAAACTACATGTATTATCCATCTGGGCAAACAAAGACCAAATTTAGTATATATACACCATAGAAGATATGTCACATCACCCCAGAGACCCGCAAACACACAATCCACGCCTGCACTTACGACAGGAGATCTCGTCGGAGCCGTCCTGGCAGTGCCGCCGCCCGTCACAGCGCTGCCAGTCTGGAATGCAGGTGGGGGGGCGGAGGCACGGGAACTGGCCTTTTCCGCAGCGGCCTGTGGGACGGGGCCGCACGGGAGGCTGGGTGGGCACGGGGGCCGTGGTGATGTTCGAGCCTGTGGGGGCACACAGAACGGAACGGGTGATGCAACACAAAAGCTGCCGGAGAGACACAGGAACAAAGGTGGCTTTGAAGGCCGGGACATTATTGTCACAAACACTTGGTCGCACACAATGGGAAGCAGAACCCAAACAAATGCAGAATGGAACCCTTTTACTGGCTGGCAGCACACTGTTACCCCTTAAATGGGAGCTATGCTACATATCTAACCACTTATATCAGTGTTTCCCAACCCAGTCCTCAGGGACCCCAGACAGTCCACATTTTTCTCCTTCCCAGCTTCCAACCAATCAAGAACTCCGAATACCTGGCATGGGTGTGTTGGGAGCCGGGAGAAAACAAAAATATGGACTGTCTGGGGTCCCTGAGGACTGGGTTGGGTTGTATAATGTGATTACGATAATCACTTACGCATATAAAGCAAAATATACAGCACAGGCAGACCTCAAGAAAACAACCTAGATCCATTCCCTAAGTCTGCCTTTAAGTTGAATTTGTAGGTAAATTAGAACAATAATAGTAATATTATTAATAATACAGTAATAGTAAAAGTAACTACACTGGGTACTGTACCTCGAGCTGGCGAACCGCTAAAGCCGCACAAAGCAGCGTGTGCTTTCATTATTATGAGCCATTGTATTTCACTCAAATGTTTATATAATAGGCTTTGTGGGAGTCCGTTCGGAAGTACGAGCTGTCCATAAGTTGCATGCTCTTAACCCGGGGGCTGCTGGTACTGTGTGAAAGTCTTGGGCGGTCAAAGAAGATGTTTAAATTATCATGAGGGAGAAAAACTATGATAGATGTCTGTCCAAGTCTGACAGATTGACCATTTTCAAAAAAAATAAAAAAAGGTCACCCCAGTTAGTATTTGCAGTAACCATCCAATACACCCAAGTATTTTTTGACTCAACTACCAGCATACCATGTTTGGCTAATCAGCACCTCACTGAGTCATACGGCAGTCGATCCCACCGCTCACCTTTGAAGCAGCCGACCTCGTCACTGCCATCTGGACAGTCCGCATAGCCATCGCACACCCAGGTGTTGACGATACAGGTCCCCGAGCCGCAGCGGAAGTGGTTAGGGGAACAGGAGAGGGACCCAGGTGTGGTGGGACGGGGGGTGAGTCCTCCTGGGGGGGGGGAGACAGGTAAAAATGTAGATAAAGGTGGAGAAAAAAATATACCCCAAAACATGACCTTTTTCAGTGAAGTCTGTTTGACATCCAACTATATTGACTTGGTACACCAATGGACAGGGGTGATTCCAGGATTTTTTAAGGTGGGGGTTATAAAAAGGACCAATCTAATCATTAGTTATTGATATGAGTGAGTGACAGGAGAGGGGCCAATCAGATTTCAGCTGGAGCCAGTGACTCCTGTGGCCCCGCCCCCATACAAGCCCCTGCCAATGGGTGAGGTACACTGCAAAGTGGTTAGGGATGTTACTGGTGGGGTTAGTGTGCGGTGTAGCGTGCAGCTCTGAGCTTTTAAAAAGCTAGAAATTGATACATTTAAGCTTATTAAATGATGGTCTGAGAACATTTTAGCAGAAAAAAGGCAATGTGTAAGTCATAGGTGGAGCCTGTTTGTTACCCATGCAGCCCTCCTCGTCAGACCAGTCGCCACAGTCGTTCTCGCCGTCACATTTCCACCAGCTGGGAATGCAGCGACTGTTGCGGCACTCAAACTGGAAGTAGCGGGAGCAGCCAGGAACGTCAGTGGCAGAACCTGAGAGGAAAAGGTGACACGCAGCATTAAAAAAAAAAAAAAAGGAAGAAAAAGAGAGACTGCAGGGGAGAAAAAAAAAAGGCGGACAGAGGGAGCAGACTGGAGAGGTAAAGACCAAAGACAAGGACATAGCAGTCAGCTAGGGCACAGACAGCAGTGGTGCATTATGGGAAAGAAAGACGAGGCAAGAGTAAGTGAGAGAGGAGGAGAAGCAGGAAAGGCCGAGGAGGTGGAGGGAGGGAGGCCTCACCGCAGTTGGCCTCGTCGGAGTAGTCTTCGCAGTCGTCCATGCCGTCGCATTTCCACTCGAGGCTGACGCATGCCCCGTTGGCACACTGGAAGCTGTAGCCGTCACAGGTGCGCTCGAACTCGGGCCGCGTGGCTGCAGGGTGAACAGAGAGCGCTCAGTACGTGACGCTGGGTGACAGATCGGTGCGATAAACCCGGCTGCACGGGAGGAGACACGGAGAGCCTCGCTACACCTCGGCGAAAGACACCCTGCCGCAGCCGTGACGAGTCTGACGTCGGGAGATTCAGGACCCAAGGCCGCCAAGCAAAGCCACGCACGAACACATCAAACTAAATCATGTTGCTTGACACTTGGAAGGAAAAACTAGTGTGAAAGTTCGCAACAACAGTGACATAGTAGTGTAAATAAAAACAGCAGCAGAAATAGAAGTATGCAAAAAAATTTTCTTGCTTTGTTAAAAGCTGTTGTGCAGCTCCTGCTCCGTTACTGCTCACATTTATACCTGGACATTCACTGACTTCTTGGCACTACGCATGTCTGCAATGTGCTACTGCTAAGCGTCTGCTGAATGTGTCAAATGTAATGATAATTAGTGTGCAAACTAGAATAAATAAGCGCAATAAATGCAATGAACAGCCATACGAATGTAAGCATGGATGGACCATACATACACACACGGTTACAGATTCAAATTGCTGAAAGCGGTCGGGGACGTAGGCCGACAGACAAGGCCCTTGGTGTCCCTGTGTGTCAGTAAGCCTCGAGGCCCTTGGTGTCCCTGTGTGTCAGTAAGCCTCGTCGCCAACCCTCCCCCCCCCCACCAGGCGTCTCAAG